CAAAAACATATGTGATTAATAAATCGTCTTCACAATCGATTCGTTCACACCTTCCAACCGATGCAGCACTTCTTATCGTCTAGCCGAAACATCACCTTAATCTTCAATATAATCAAAGTGGGAGTGAAACTTCAGTTTGGACTCGATGATGAATACCAAGTATTTGTAATTCCCCACTGGTTCGATGTGTTGATTATCTTGATACACAACCTGGGTTGTTAATGTGGCAGGATTTATCTTATTGGAGATAATAATTACTTTTGTTTGATTTTCCTTCAGCACTTATTTGAGGGAACAAAGGAGATGTGGAATGAGGTCAAAATCACTTTGTAATGTAAGGTATTACTGCTTCTTGTAAAATTCCACTTAACATTATTGCAGTATCGTCAGAAAAAATGCCCACATTAGAGAATTTAAGTTGGTCTCCAAGAATATTAACTAAGAGGGGGAATAAAATTGGTCCAAGTGTGGAGGCTTGTGGAACTGCCTTCGTGGTTAAAACATTTTAGGTACCAACTTTCGACGGAAACAACCTGATTTCGCTAAAAAAAGTAGCTATTGAACCAGTCAATTGTATGGCGGCAGAAATCGAGGCTGTCGAGTCGTTTGAGTAGGATTGCACGACCTATCGTATCGAAGGCTTTGGACAAGTCAAGAAAAGTGTGGCATCGTATTGCTCATGGTCCAGTCTATTACATACAAAATCAAGGAAGCCGAGTACAGCTACGTTAGTGAAAGGGTTTTTTTGTAGAAGCCTGGTTATTTAAAGTGAGACAGCCCATCTGTAGACGTGTAATTGTTCATTTGGGCCTTGAGACTCTTCTCAAAGATGTAAATTTATGGTGATAGGATCTAAATTGGCCGGTAATTGTTGGAGTCGTCTGTAGATACACCTGTGGCGAAGACGACGAACGAACGCAGTTTTCAATTCATGGGGCACTGCGGCTTTCTTGATCGATAGGTTATAGAGATGGACTAGAGGTTTATAGATTATATTATCCGTTGTGACCAACTAAAAAGTGAGTAGTTTATCTGCCCCAATGGAGGAGGGTGTCTGTCCTGAGGCTAGTTGGCTGAGCACATCCGGCGCTGTGATATTAAATATAAACGGTTCAGGCGGATCCCCAATGTTATCGAAAGGGGTGAGGCTTGAGATGGGGGAAGAGTTGCTGAGCTCAAACTAGGAACAGTTTGAATGCACCGATCTATCGAAGATGTGACCATCTGAAGGCCGTTTATGATATTTTTTATGTTAGCGAGGTGTTTCCTATAAATTGTCATGTTTACATCATTATACCTCCTTTGCCAGTATCAAAATATAATAATAGGGTTTTCCCCTTTTTCTGGCAAAAAAACTGAAACCTTTTTTACAAGGAATCATGTGTGCATTAACGAAATGCAAACAAAAAACATGCAGATAATATATGCATTGTCCTTGAAACTGATTGGTCCACACCAGAAACAGCTTTCTTTTGAGCCTCGTCTCAATTGGTGCTATAGACCAGAGGATGCCAAAAGGCGAACAGCTCAAAGACAATGCACTATCAAAGTAATGAGGGCTCGGGGTAAGCATCTACATCATTAGACCTCCTTTGCCAGTACCAAAAGATAATGAGAAGGTTTTTCCACTTTTTATCTGGCAATAAAACTGAAACCGTTTACAAGGAATCATGTGTGCATTAACCAGAATACTTGCGGTAAAAATGCAAACAAAAAAACACACTCTGATAATATATGCATTGTCCTTGAAACTGATTGGTCCACACCAGACACGGCTTTCTTTTGAGCCTCGTCTCGATTGGTGCTCGACCAGAGGACGCCAAAAGGCATACAGCTCAAGACAATGCACTATCAAAGTAATGAGGGCTCGGGGTAAGCATCTACATCATTAGACCTTCCGAATTGTTAGTCCAGCGTGCGTAATATACATCACACCACGACAGCATCCCCTATGCAGATGCGAGGGGACTAATGGTCACATTGGGTTTAGTATACTGCACTTCTTTTGGGGGAAGCTTTGCCAGGTTAGTACAGTCCTGCTCTGTGTTTAATCCCTGGTAAGCCATCTGAGTGAGCACCTGGATTATCATCTCTCTCTCCCGTTCCCGTCATCTGCCCTTGCTGTTGTCGCAGCTACATAAGCTGAGAGTTGAAATCGTTTCTGTCTCTGAGGTGCGATGGCCGGAGAGTGGTGGGATCAGTAAAGGTGGATCCACCCACAACTGCTCTGGTTGATCCCGGGCAAACCCCAGAACGTGGTGGCTGTTGTGATCTCAAGCATTCTGATCTCGTCAGTGCAAAGGGCTACCATACGTGATGCTTTTGACACTGAGGTGCACTCCAGAGTGTCTCTTCTTGACTGCCATATTATTATTGGAATAATTTGTACTTGTAATGCACCACGACAGTATTCGCTCATTCTCGACAACGGAGAACGACTCGACGGCACGTGGAGAAAGCATAGACACGATGGAAGGTGACCATGCGCTGAACTGGCGCCAACAATTGCCCAAGCTCTGTCTTCTTTAGATGAGAGTGTTGTTGATCAATTAATGAGCAATTACATGTGGGGGGAAACTGGAGCACCTGGATAAAACCCACACATGTCTCCCACAAAGATCTATTAGGTGGAGTCCACATTTACTATACTGCATTTTCCTTGCGAACCAGGCTATGGCTCCTACTCTACGCGCACGGGAAAGGAGTTTCTGAACATTTGTGTGGTGAGTCACCAACCCTTGCTGGATTACAGGCCACGTGCACTGCCATCAACGTTCCTCTTGAGGCGCCAGCAATTTATGAGCACCAGAATCATGGCCCTACCTTATGAACACAACCCCATTGTCGTTAGGAATCGTCATCCACAAAAATAATGGGCAGATGGCTCGGAGGTCAGAGAGGCCTGAGCTGGAATTGTTGTCTTCCCGGCTTAGAATCTGTGTTTCAGCTACCTGTGATTCATATCATCACAGGCGCCCGACATCGCGCAAGGCAGTGGTGAAATTCTTGACCCAAAGAATATTCAATCAACAGAGGCAGATATTTGTTTCATTTGTAGGGGTGTCAGGGGAAAGATTCCCACCAATAGGAGGGTTCGTGGGAGGGGTAATCGAGGAGATATAAGGGGAGAACGGGCGGGAAGAAGGGGCCTTTGGCGGGAACGAGATTGGGACGGCTGGGGACAGGTGTGGATGGGAGAAAATGATTAAAAGACGAAACCCCTGCAATCTTGTGTCGGCTCTCCTTTACACATTCATGCGATCTTTATTGAAGGAACAAAATTTATAACAAAAAATATAAGAACAATTACACGCAGTTATGGAATGGGTCACAACCCGGCTCATCTCGAGGACACCGCAGTGTTCCGGGGCATTCTCAATCGCTGCGTTTAAATTTCGGAATGAACCGGTCTTGGCACTGAGATTTGCAATCGCATCCAGCTCTACGCAGCTTATGATTGTTGCTTCAAGAGCATTACACCCACAGATGCGAATGCAATCCCGAATGATAAAAGTGTTTCATTGATTATTTTTACTTATATAATTACTTCTGTCACTTTATGCATTGTCATTGAAACGCGTCTTCGCGTTTGCAGGCCTGCCTCCAGTCCGTTGTTATTATTCCATTTGTTGTTAAAATACTTTTGCCACTCGCTGCGTTTCATTTCCTACTAGTTCTTGTAACGTATCATCCCTCGTAATTCCCTGTGCATGTAGCATTATTGCCGCCTTCATGGGCAGGTCGCTCTTGGAAAACGAGCTGTTGAGCTCAAATAACCTCGCCTCTTTCAAGAGAGTGTACATCTCTCAGTACGTTTCATAGCATATCTCTCAATACAGGACAGCTGGCTATCTACCTTGAACTGTGCCATTCCTTGATTTTAATAAATGACCTTTAATATGAGGGAGGATAAGATTTTATGTATTGCAAATTATATTTCCTGGAGTATATTGCTATGTTGATATTTTATGAATGCCCTCGCCTCTTCGGCTGAGACTCGGCTCCCTCCCCTGGCCTTACCTCGTTCCAAATGCACACACACAGTTTGGATGCTGCACCTCTACCGAGAGTCACGTGCTATTCCTGTCTGCGTTCCCGTGGTGGTTATTGTTGTTGTTTAAATCGCTCGATCGCATTCGCTTCACATCGTGCTCACGCCCAGTCCAATAGTTCATTACCTAGTCCTTATTGCTGTTGGTGGTGCAATGTGCCTGTTGTTTATTTTGTTAATGTTGTTACGTATTGTTCTTTAAGCACAATGTTTGCCTGCACCTATGACACGTTCTGTTCCGTTGTTGCCCGTTTCTTCTGTACGTATCACTTTGATGTCGTTGTTGCTCTTGTGTAGCGCTAATGCACCACGGGATCACCCTTGCAAGCTAGCTTGGTAGCTGGCTACACAGGACTTTCCGTGTTTACGAATACACATTAATTGATTGTTTGTTTTCTTTATTGATAAACTAAGTGTTTAATATATTCTACGGTTTGGGATTTCGTGTGAATTGTATTTTATGTAATTCCATCTGAGACGCCTTCATCGATATCAAGTGTGCACACTGATTTATGCAGCACCTACCTGTTGACAGACTATATATACATTAATCGTAATTTCATTGGCCCAAGTTTTTTAGATTGAACTTATTTTCAAAATTCCGATTAATATTTTTCACGCATGCAATTTTTTTGGCCATTATTTGATTATTTTCCAGAATTGGAATTTATTTTCCAGATTCGAATTATTTAACATAGTTGTTTTTTTTTTTTTTTTTTTTTTTTTTTTTTTTTTTACAAATGGCTTATTTGTTTTAAAAAACAAAATCTAAATATTTTTTGGAAAATTTTACATATCATATTCACTTAATCTCTAACACTATATCAAATATATGTTAATATATTTAACTACATATATCCTGATAGCAACTTAAATATTGGTTAAGAACCCTGCATTGTTTGTATATTGGCCCCACCATATTGAGGAGCATCTATGCACGAACACTGCGCGGGACATGCTACTGCACTTTGCACCAGGGCGCCAAAGGCGACCAGCGTGGCGATCCACTTGATCCACATGATGATTGGCTCCTGCAGGCTGATGGGCGAGAGACAAAAACGGACAGGGCGCGTTAAGTACCATCGTAAACGCATCTCGCACCGAAGGGATTCATGCGCGTGCCAAAATTTGCCAAAATTGGCCAAAAATGCGATTAGCCGCTCGAAGTTATACACCGGGAAGTGCGACACGTGGCAGGCTGCATCTGCATTGCTGCTGTTGAATTTGAGACGAAGGCAGAAGCGAACGGGTTCGTGCCCTGGTTAGTCCAGAAATTAAATGAGGCGAATTAATTGTTTAACTTAAAAAAAACATACAGACGCCCAGTTATTCTGATCGAGTAGGCGCACATTGCAAGTGCATTGCATCCTCGACCCAAACGTTCATCAAACGAGCGACGTTTTGTCTTCACATTCGATCGACTGAGCATAATTAACACTCGGTGCAGAGCCATCGAGTGTGAGGACGCCGGCACGCGCTGTCAACCCTGCGTGGATCCATCGCCATCAGAATTCAGCAGCAACGACGACAAAGACAATTTGACAAGCGCACCGCCACACACAATGCGAACATTTCTCACGAAGCAAGATTCAAACGGGCATTTAACAAGTAAGCAACATCTTTCGAAATGGCACGGAGAGGATCCGAGCAGAAGTGTTGCAGGCTCACCCGAGTAGCGGAGAGCGTGAGAGTGTTGGGGAGAGAGAGCGAGAAAGGAGACAGTGGTGGCTGTAGCTGGAGCTGTTGAGAGCTGCAGAGCCGAGTCGCTGTGCCTCTCTGGACTCAGGCGCCCCTTTTTATACGAATCTCAATGAGGAACTGCCGACGTCAGAAAAGGAACTGGAGCCAATTAATTGTTTAATTTGTGTAATTTGCATGATATTTAATTTATTAGCCACTCGTTAGCGCTGAGTCGGCTACCGCAGCGGTCGAGGCCAGCTTCTGAGTTGCTGTTATGTAAAAAAAGATATATCCAACGTAGTTGTTTTGTGGCGGTTATTACAACACATGCACATCCACACACTTGGGCGACGGTGAAAATTCCCTTTTTAATGAACCGTGGCACATATTGTTAAGAGTGTAATACAAATGTTGGAAGCATTTGTTCGTACTTTGAAGTCATAGTGGGACATTGTCAAATTCTAGCAGAAGATGGAAAATGAAAAGATACGCACAATTACTGCAACATTATAATTATTGAGCACACGTTAACATCGCCAAAATCTTGATAAATTTAGCGACGGCTTGGGGAGGACTTCATCCAGCAGTGGATTAGACGTGATTATGAGGGTGATGGTGGTGATTCATCGTAAATATAATTTAATTTATAGCAACTTTTAGCCTCGTGGCACGATTGTTTGGGCATTTCAAGTCCCAGTGGGGTTAAGGTATGAATGTGTGCCAATGCATCTCGGAGCTGCTGCTAGAAGAGCCACAACATAAAGTCTTGCTAAAGCGGCCATCCCAAGAACAAGGTTTTAGCTCCGTCAACACGTTAGGGATGGGGGGGGGGGTTCAAATTTCCCCCCTTATTTTAATAAATAGGTTTAATTTCATATACAAACTCTCTGCAATGGTGGAAGAGGGGATGACGGCTGGACACAATGCAAGTCCAAATGAGTCGTTGGACTCGGAGCCTCTACTCATCTATACACAGGGGGTGAGAGCTACGGGCAAAACGATGCATGATAGACAAAAGCAAATGGTTACTCATTTCGTTCAGCGCACCTTCGATGAGCACGGTTGGCTATGTACGGTGCGATAGAAGTTCAACATACATACACGTTTAAAGTTTGTTTAACATTGCGTCTTTGCACTCCCCCCACCTCCTCACCTATGCCCCCTTTAAACAATGTGACGCAATTGGGTTCAATATCCTCATAATCACAAGTTCTTATTACAACATATTATTGGCGTGTATGTCCATTTAGCGATAACTATTTAAAATATCATCATACTTATTATTATAAGGGTACGACTTACTATAATGTATCAAGGTGAGAACCCACTGACACAACAAACATATTTCACAACGGCGTCTAACACCAAGCGATTCCAATAGCCCAGTGGAATTATACACATCGTGTACGTCGGTAACATACCGAGCAATCATACTGAGCTTTCAAGCATCTAACATTTAGAGCTATCATTCAGATATAACCGACATAGATAATAGACAGAGCTACCATATGGAGCTAACTTACACAGACACAATATGTGATAATCTTAAAGATATATCTTAGAGATAACTAATAGCAATTATACATTGCTATTACACTGTATCAAACACGGGCACTCTATTGAGTTATCATACAGAGCTAACATAAATGGTTTCATACAGAGTTAAGATTAAGAGATCCTGCAAAGCAAGCACACAAATATATTATACTAGCGGAAGTACCCGGCTTTGCCCGGGTGAAAAATATATTTCTTAAAAACCTTACATATATATACACAGATACTAAGGTATTGTCAAAGCCCGGTGGGCTGTTTGTACATTTCTCCACCAAAAAATATATAAGAGGCTTTCACAAGTCCAAAAAGCTGTAGAAAGTGTGGGGTAAATAGTTGATGTCAAAATGTTTCCGAAAATTGTGGTCTTCCCCCCCCCCTCAAAAAATATCTTTACCCCTCGTAGGTATATATACTAACAACACCTTACATACAACAGAGGAAGTGGTATCTATTGACTCTGTAGTAATATCTACTGACTGTACCGTAGTATCTACTGAGCCAGTAGTAGCTACTGACTGTGTAGTAGTATTTAGTGACTGCAATAACTACTGACCATAGTAGTATTTACTGGGCCTACAGTAGTATCTACCGACTATATACTCGTAACGACTAACTGTATAGTATCTGCTGACTCTATAGTTGTATCCACTGACTATAGTAGTAACTACAAAATCTATAGCAGTATCTACTCACTCTATAATAGTATCTACTGACTCTAGTAGCTACTCACCGTAGCAGTATGTACTGACTGTATAGTAGCATATACTGACTGTAGCAGTATTGACTGACTGTAGTGGTATATACTGACTGTTTTAGTATTTACTATAGCGGTATCTACCAACTCGATAGCAGTATCTACTATCACTACAGCAGTGTATACCGACTGAGGTCGTACCTGCTATCACTACAGCAGTGCATACTGCTGTGTTGGTACCTGCTATGATTACAGCAGTGCATACTGCTGTGTTGGTACCTGCTATGATTACAGCAGTGCATACTGCTGTGTTGGTACCTGCTATGATTACAGCAGTGCATACTGCTGTGGTTGTATCTGCTATGATGAGAGGAGTACATATTGTGGTTGTGGTACCTGGTATGATAACAGCAGTGCATATTGACTGTACTCATCATTCACCCTCACCATTCACCACTCACAACTCACTCTTACCACTCATCCTCACCACTCACCACTCCCACTCACTATTCACCATTCACCCTCACAACTCACCACTCACCAACCTCCCTCACCAATCTCCATCACCACTGACCCTCACCACTCACCCTCACCAATCACCACTCGCCCTCACCACTCACTCTCACCACTAACCCTCACCAGTAACCCTCACCACTCTCACTCAACACTCTCCCTCACCACTCACTCTCACCATTCACCCTCACCATTCAGCCACACCACTCACCCTCACCACTCACCCTCACCACTCACCGTCACAACCACCACTCACCCTCACCACTCAACTTCACCCTCACTACTCACCATTCATCCTCACCAATCACCACTGACCAATCACCACTCTCCACTAACCCTCACCACTCACGCTCACCACTCACCCCTCTCCGCTCACCACTCACCCATCACCACTCACAACCGCCACTCACCCTCACCACTCATCCTCACCACTCACCCTCACAACAACCACTCACCCTCACCACTCACCCTGACCACTCACCACTCACCCTCACCACTCACCCCTCACTAATCACCACTCATAACCGCCACTCACCCTCACCACTCACCACTCACCCTCAACACTCACCCTCACCACTCACCGTCACCACTCACCCTCACTACTCACCACTCATCCTCACCAATCAAACCATCAACAATCACCACTCACCCTCACCACTCACCCTCACCACTCACTCTCACCACTCACCACTCACCCTCACAACAACCACTCACCTTCACCGCTCAGCACTCACCCTCACTACTCACCCTCACCACTCATCCTCACGAATCACACCCTCACCAATCACCACTCACCCTCACCATTTGCCACTCACCCTCACCACTCACCACTCACCCTCACCATTCACCCTCACCACTCTCCCTCACCACTCTCCCTCACCACTCACCAGTCACGCTCACCACTCACCCTCACTACTCACCACTCACCCTCAACACTCACCCTCACCTCTCACCACTCATCCTCACCAATCACACCCTCACCAATCACCACTCACCCTCACTGCTCACCCTCACTGCTCACCCTCACCACTCACCCTCACCACTCACCCTGACCACTCACCACTCATCCTCACCAATCACACCCTCACCAATCACCACTCACCCTCACTGCTCACCCTCACTGCTCACCCTCACACTCACCCTCACCACTCACCCTCACCATTCACCACTCACGCTCACCCTCACCACACACCCCTCACTAATCACCACTCACAACCGCCACTCACCCTAACCCCTCATCCTCACCAATCACACCCTCAACAATCACCACTCACCCTCACCACTCACGGCCAACACTCACCCTCACCACTCATGCTCACCACTAACCCTCACCACTCACCCTCACCACTCACTAATCACCTCTCACAACCGTCACTCACCCTCACCACTCACTCTTACCACTCACCCTCATCACTCACCCTCACCACTCACCCTCACAACAACCACTCACCCTCACTACTCATCCTCACCAATCGCACCCTCACCAATCACCACTCACCCTCACTGCTCACCCTCATCGCTCACCACTCAACCTCACCCTCACCACTTACCCCTCACTAATCACCACTCACAACTGCCACTCACCCTCCCCACTCACCCTCACCACTCACCCTCACCAATCACCACTCACCCTCACCACTCACCCTCATCATTCACCCTCACCACTCACCCTCACCATTCACCCTCACCACTTTCCCTCACCACTCTCCCTCACCACTCACCCTCACCACTCACCAGTCACGCTCACCACTCACCCTCACTACTCACCACTCACCCTCAATACTCACCCTCACCGCTCACCACTCACCCTCAACACTCACCCTCAACGTTCATCACTCACCCTCACCACTCACCCTGACCACTCACCACTCATCCTCACCAATCACACCCTCACCAATCACCACTCACCCTCACTGCTCACCCTCACCGCTCACCCTCACCACTCACCCTCACCACTCACGCTCACCCTCACCACTCACCCCTCACTAATCACCACTCACAACCGCCATTCACCCTCACCACTCAACACTCACCCCTCACTAATCACCACTAACCCTCACCACTCACCCTCACCACTCACTAATCACCTCTCACAACCGTCACTCACCCTCACCACTCACTCTTACCACTCACCCTCACCACTCACCCTCACAACAACCACTCACCCTCACAACAACCACTCACCCTCACTACTCACCCTCACCACTCATCCTCACCAATCACACCCTCACCAATCACCACTCACCCTCACTGCTCACCACTCAACCTCACCACTCACGCTCACCCTCACCACTCACCCCTCACTAATCACCACTAACAACCGCCACTCACCCTCCCCACTCACCCTCACCAATCACCACTCACCCTCACCACTTACCACTCACCCTCACCACTCACTACTCTCCCTCACCACTCTCCCTCACCACTCTCCCTCACCACTCTCCCTCACCACTCTCCCTCACCACTCTCCCTCACCACTCACCCTCACCAGTCACGCTCACCACTCACCACTCACGCTCACCACTCACCCTCACTACTCACCCTAACCACTCACCACTCACCCTCAACACTCACCCTCACCGCTAACCACTCACCCTCACCACTCACCCTGACCAGTCACCACTCATCCTCACCAATCACACCCTCACCAATCACCACTCACCCTCACTGCTCACCCTCACCGCTCACCCTCACCACTCACCCTAACCATTCACGCTCACCCTCACCACTCACCCCTCACTAATCACCACTCACAACCGCCACTCACCCTCACCACTCACCCTCACTACTCACCACTCATCCTCACCAATCACACCCTCAACAATCACCACTCACCCTCACCACTCACGCTCAACACTCACCCTCGCCACTCATGCTCACCACTAACCCTCACCCTCACCACTCACTAATCACCTTTCACAACCGTCACTCACCCTCACCACTCACTCTTACCACTCACCCTCACCACTCACGCTCACCCTCACCACTCACCCCTCACTAATCACCACTAACAACCGCCACTCACCCTCCCCACTCACCCTCACCCCTCACCACTCACCCCTCACCACTCACCCCTCACCCCTCACCCCTCACCACTCACCCCTCACCACTCTCCCCTCACCACTCACCCCTCACCCGTCACCACTCACCCCTCACCACTCACCCCTCACCACTCACCCCTCACCCCTCACCACTCACCCCTCACCCCTCACCACTCACCCCTCACCACTCACCCCTCACCACTCACCCCTCACCACTCACCCCTCACCCCTCACCACTCACCCCTCACCACTCACCACTCACCCCTCACCACATGTTAAGGGCGATCCTAAAGGAATCTACAACCTTCGATGATTCCTTTGCGCGATTCAAAGAATCGATTCCTGGCGCATAGGAGGTTTCCATTTTTAATTACAGAGTTTTATTTTCATTGTTATGTTATGTTTTAAAGTTTTCAGGAGTTTTTAATTATATTTTAGCCCCGGTCAACGCCGGATATTTCCCATTCGTAGCAGTTTATATCAACTGTATAACCAACTTATATTAAACGGAAATAAGGCGATTCTAAATGAATCTACAACCTTCGATTCCTTTTCGCGATTCAAAGAATCGATTCTTGGCGCGGTCGGGTTTATAATTTTAATTACGCAGTTGTATTTTCATTGGTATGTTATGTTTTTAAGTTTTCAGAAGATTTTAAATGTATTTTTTCCCCCGGGCAACGCTGGGTATATCGAGTTTATACCACAAAGTCGTCGCTTGACACATGTGGGGTGTAGAGGCCTAGTACCGTGCAGAGCCTCCGGCCTCACCTAGATTGCCCACCCGGCTGAGGCTGGGTACTGGGGCCGTTACCCCACCCCCGCGCTACAATAATACTGTCTAATCGCTATAATTGTATTATCTACCGACCCTATGATTTTAATTGCACACATTGGGGTGGGGGGGGGAGTGAAGAGGACGTGAAACTTTGATGAATTTACCTCAGAGTCGCGTGTTAATGCGTGCGTATATTTTTAACGGGAATTAAAAATGGCGTCCACCCCGCAGCAAAGTTGTTGCTACCCGTTGCCAGGGGCAACCGCCGTGGTCCGCGCCGGCCGGCAATATTAAATAAATAAATAAAGAATTAAATAAATAACTAAAGAGAAATCGCACTAAATCGATAATCGGTCCGATTTAAAGTTTAGAGACGAAAAATCGGAAATGCCTAAGTTTACCGCGGGCCTGGGGCGTGCCCACCTGCAAAATTTAATCTCGGCGAACCCCACGGTCCGAGAGCTAAATCCCCCGGAAGGGAGCGTACGCAGACGGACGGACAGACAGACAGACAAAAAATGAATTATATAAGTTAGATAGAGATTCATACTGAGCCACCATGCACAGGTAATGTACAGAGTTATCATAAAACGCTATGTATGATACAGAGATAACATCCACAGCGATTACACAGAGCTGAAATTTAGAGCTATCACATGGGAATATCATACAAAGCTATCAAATATATCTAACATATACAGTATATGCACACATAACTATCACACAAAGCTATGGCACAGAGCTATTTTCCAGAGCTAACAAAGATTATAACGGTTGACTGTGTATAGTGCCAACAAAGTTCAACATACATAAACTAAATAAAAAAATAAACTAAAGAGCTTTCATTTAGAGCTTAATAAATAGCTAATCGACAGAGCTATCATATAGAGTGAGCATAGCAAGCTATGATGTGTAGCTAACATAGAGATTCATATAGAAATATCATACGGAGCGATCATACGTTATAATATGGAGCTTTCATACAAAGCTAAGATATATAGGTATTAAACAGTGCTAACATACATAGATATCATAAGGTTTATACGGGATTTATCCAAAGTTCTTGAAACACCTTAGCCAAAATGGATGCCGCTGGTGGGCCAGATTGCTTTCGGACACAATGGCCTCAGGCAAAATTCGGAATAAATTGTGACAAACGAGGGTCATTGCGAATCCGAGGCCCAAGAAATCAACCACAGAACCAAATAACTTCTGCTCCATATACCTGCTTAGCACGGTGTACAAACTCATCGAGAGAATGCTACTGACCAGTACATCACCAATTTTCGAGGAGGCTATGCTAACTTAACAGGCTGGTTTCCGCCCTGGCCGCAGCACATGCAAGCAAGTGCTGGCACTCACCTCGCACATTGAAGCTGGCTACCAGCGCAATGACATCACAACAGCTGCTTTCGTCGACTTATCAGCGGTCTATTACACAGTATGGTGGGAGGGCCTCATGCTAACGGTTTTGATGGTCATCAGATGCCAGCAGACCCTCCGACGCCTATTATCACTAGTGTCCAACCAGCAATACCGGGTCCACCTGGGAAACACTATCTGCAGAGTCCGCTTACTCAATAACCGGCTCCCACAAGGATCAGAGCTTGCTCCAACACTTTTTAATATATATATGTGACCTCTCTGTTACCATCAGCCAGAAATTTGGCGACACCGATGATCTGGCACTTACCATCAAACGAAGGACCCAAACTGAGGTACAAGGCGACCTTTGTTCGAAGACCTCAAGAAACTCGAAATGTACTTCAAGTACCAGAGGCTCTGCCCAAACCCAAGTAAAACTGCGGTTACATCATTCCACCTGAAAAATGCAAATGCTGACCAGAAACTGGCCGTCACTTTCTGTGGCGAAGAGGTCCAGCATGAGAAGTCACCAAAATATGTCAGTGTAACTCTGGACAGGAGGCTCACCTTCCTCGAACATCTGCAGAATATTGCTATAAAAACTAAATCACGAGTTAATCTACTTCATATAGTCACCGGAACAACATGGGGGGGGGGGGGGGGCGCAATGATGCTCCGGACGGCCACTACAGCAGTAGTTCTCTATGGCAGCATATTGTGTTCCAGCCTGGAACAAAAGCATGCACATGAAGCTGGTGGACAGACAGCTAAATGTACCCATGAGGATCATCTCAGGGATGCCAAAAAGCACACTACTGAAGTGGCTTCTGGTCCTCACAAACATTACTCCTCTGTAGCTCTGCCGCGATGCCGCGTCTGTGAGGGAGTATCGCACGACTATCAGAAATCCTAACATCCCAATAAACAAGGACATCTCCATGATACTGCTGCACAAACTCAAATCCCTAAAACCCTTTCTGTCAATAAGCAAAGAACCTCCATGACGTTGACTTCACCACCAAAGCACGATGGAGGGAAGCCTGGGAAAACACCAACCTGCTGCAGAAATCCATCATCAGCGACCACATAATTCTCTAACCCGGATCTGACCTTCCGAGAAAGATCTGGTCCTCCTTGATTCGGATCCGGACACTCCATGGAAGATGTGGACACTATCACAAATGGAGAATTAACAAAAGTCCAGTTTGTGACTGTGGTGGTGCAACATTTAAAACCGTACAACAATCAGATCATTCAACGACGATCTGAAACAAATCTAAGCGGCTACTCCTGAAGCAGTTGAATGGATATCAAACCTCAACATCAATTTGTAATATGTTGAAATTCCAAAAATATGCCATACAAATGAAGTAGTGCTATCATAGAGACTTAACATGCACATCTTGAACACAGAGATATCATATGGGCATAACATATACAAAAACCATACATATTTATCATATATAAATATCACAGACATAACAAGCCAACGTGGCATGTTTGATCTCTTGAGTTCTCATCTGGTTAAATAAAATACACTTGGAACGGGGAAATACGGCCTTGTTATGAAGTGATCTCATACTGATAGCTATAATACAGAACTGGCATATTCTTATTGCATATCGCATAATGGATATGCTCCTGAAAGATACAGTACATGTCCAGGCTGGAACGCCACGTGACAGTTTCATTTGACGCTCAATTAATTTCTGCTGCTGTGCCTATGTTGACTTCCCATAGTTTTCAGTGATTTACAATGCACTAAATGGTTTGGTCAGTGGTCTCCAAGGTCACAATCCAGGTCTTTTTGATGTTCCACTCGTGAAGGCTATGACCATGATAGGTCATGGGGCAATCAATTGAACAACGCGCTTCATTGCTTTCAGGTTACGTGCTCCATTGTTTCAGGCAAGGTCATCACCACGTGGTGCAGTGGTGAAATCCAATGCCAGATGTTTGTTCGGCACGTCACCGTAATAGATCAGAATTGTCTCCAATGTTGTAGCGTCGACTCCTGCGTTCATATTGGTGTGCATCAGTCAGTTCCAGAACGAGCTTGCCGTATGTTTTGGAGATCTTCGTGGATGGGTGGGTTACGTGTTGCCTTTAGCGTGGTGCTATCAATGCAGATATCAAGAGTCGAGCTTGCGGGTACTGATAGTGGGGTGGGTGGAATATTTGATAGCCTCGCCAGCCAGGGAAGATGAGTGGAGGTGAGTGTGCCGGTGATGGTGTGCATTGCTAAATTTAGGAAGGGGTCCAAGTGCTTTGTGCGAATGTTCCTCGCCCAGACAGGAACACATTACGGGTGAAAAACCATGCAGGCCAACGTGGCGGCATGCAGAGTTCACGCGGTCGCGCTCCAGCTCGTGCCCGGCAAGTTTTGTTTGTGCTTTCGTTTACCACGCAGACCTGCCTCTCGGGTGTCCTCGGCAAGTCAAGCTTTACACCGAGATATTTTGGGTTGGTTGTCCACCTCCTGGACTTTTTCGCCATGGAAAGAAGCGTTCATGTTCAGCATTCGCTGGCCGATCATCGAAAATGGCAAGCGGAGTGGTAACCGCAGCAATTTTAATGGTTCAGACAGAGGTGCCACCGTGCCAAAGTCGCCCTCCGTTATGGTCTTGTCTGTGATTGGTGCGCGGCTCATGCCATTTCAATCTCGTGTTCGTTTGGCAAATGTCACATTATCGGCGTATGCAATCCTCTGTTATATTGTTTGCAACAGGTTGCTTGTTGAGATATGAAATGACAATGGTGCCACCACCTAGGCTTTTGAGGCAAACCATTATTGAGAGTCTTTAGTAAGCTAACCTGGTGTCTAGGGTAGATATTTAAGAACACCATATAGCTATGTTATTTACTAATTTTCAGAGGGCGACCACTTTCACTGATAAGATACCAGTGCGAGGGCCGCCTAACTGCCTGCAATGGGTGTTTTCACATTCGTATATTGTCAGGGTCCACACCAAAGGCCAACAGAGGCCGCCAGTGGCTCGCGGGCCTTGCAATGAAGAACACTGCTGTACAGGGTACGTGGACGCCGAGGCGACGGATAATGACAAAGGATGGCTGACGATGCTGTCAGCGTTGGAAATGTGGATTGAGGCAACGCAAATCAAGACGTGTTTTCATGAAGTGACGACATAATTGCGAAGCGACGTAAGAGGGGGGGACGTACATCGGGGTATAACTGTCCATACATACGTGCATATATGCGTAACTACATGTATACACTCCATATATCGTGTCATAATATAACGTTGTGGGCAGCAGAGGGTAGTGCAGCAAAACAGAAAAAACATTTACTGTACTCTACTATGCTCCGAAGTCTATGATGGGCCGTTTTTATCAACTCACAATAAGTGTGGTGAAATATGGTCTAATAACCCACTCAGCCTGTACGACATCGCTCTAGTTTTTTACGAAACTGTACAACGTGGACATTGGACACCCAACTAAATAACCATTGGTTGTGAATAAATATTAAAAGGTTCATCCTGCAAAGCAGACGAGACATGATAAATATTACGAGGTGAAGCAGAGGGAGATATGCAAGTATTTTGGTTGTAATCAAATAAAGTAGTTGGGACAGAGGGAAATACCTCACAGCACTGAAGTGGATGAAACTATGGTGGAAAGGATCCGGGAGCTGTGCAAAGGAGTTTGGAACACGGTTAACTAGCCAGTTGAATAAACAAGATCAGCTATTGTTATGCTGCCGAATATATGGGAACGAACTGAGCACAGCAATGGCAGAACTATACGTCTGTAGTGTGGTGAAATACGTGGCGCACACTGTTGGTCGAGGGCAACCGAGGACAAACACGTGTGCGTGTGCAAGATGAGGTTGCACGGGCAAACGGCCACCTAATTTAGGAGAGAAGCTGGTGCAGACCAGGCCGGCCCGGGGTTGCACGCTGACACCGGAGGTGTTGCCAGGGAGACGTGCAATAAGGGGTGATTGATAGCCTGACGGGCGCCAGCCTGTGTGGCCCTAAAGAGACACAAGGGAGGAGCTGGACAATTGTGAGGGGGTTATAAGGACGCGCGTGAGAGCAGAGCGAGAGTTCATGTTGCTGGAGACCAGAGAAAGAAGACGTCTCGCCACTGCCTATCAAGCCGGGAACGGACCTCAAACCTCACGAGTCGCCGGGTGGGTGATGGTTGATCCCCCTACCCGGGATGGACGAGTGAGTGGGTCTGAGGGAACGTAGGTGAGTGCAGCAGTGGAGTAGGGGAAGCTGTGTGAGAGCTGCATAGTGCAAGCTTCTGGGTGACAAGTTGTGTGAGAGCTGCTGAGTGCAAGCCTCTGTGTAAGAGCTAATGTGTGCGAAGCCTTGAGTGCGGAGATGCTGAGAGCTGCTGTGTGCAGGTTAGTGAGGTGTAACGTAAATAAGAGTGAGAACTGGTTAACAGAAGTGACCGCACAGATAGCGATAGGAGTGCCTACAACTGGTGCGGAAATGGGTTAATAAAGTGTAAGCAGGTGACTTGTTACAACGTGTCAGTCTGAGTAATTTTACAAGACACTACACGTCTATGAACCGCACAGATGAGGTTTTCTTGAATGTCTCGATTCATGTGTAATGCGAGCGTAAACGGGGTTCCCTGCTGGGCTCTGGCCCAATCATACGGCCCGGGGTATTGGGGGGCAGAGACCAGTATGGAGGCATATGGGAGGGCCCGCCGTTCACCTCGGGTCCAATCGGAAGCGAGGTGAACGGGGGTTAGAGCCAGCAGGGCGCTATGGGAAGGCCGGATCTGACGGTCCTGAAGGGGGGAGACAGGATCACGTGGTAATGGGGATATAGGTGGGAGCCCGGAAGGGCTCCAGGTCAGTTGTTGGAGTGAAGAAGCTGGACCACGTTGGGTGGCCGGAGGGGATCCGCGCCATCAGCCACGTGGCCGGAGGAGCTTCGGCACACCGTCGGCCAGCGGTGTGCGGAGTGGGGGAGCGGAAGGACTGACGAGGGAGCGCGTGCTGGGTGCGAGTGAGGAGACGCTGGTCCGCTGTCAGGACCAGCGGGGTGCGAGCAAAAAGCTAAATAAAGAGCAACGGAGACCAGCAGTGTGTGACGAAGTCCTTTATTACACATGTAATGAAACCTAAAGCCAAGCAGATACGTAGTATCGGAGGGACAGGCAGGTTACAGTCAGACAGTGAGTACAAGTGGAACATAAACTTGGTCCTTGCGACTGCTACCTCGAAAGTCTTTGAACGCAAGAGATAAACCCTACCACGTATGTATCAGCACGGTTAAGATATCATTCGCCTCTGATTTCCATTAACCGTTGCCAGGAATTGAACTCGGGGGACCCGGGGTTCAGAGCGCAGCTTGCTAACCACTGGGCCAACCACATCATCCCCAATAAAATTACACCCGTCACATTTTTTGCATGCAGGGTCAGTTATGTTCCTGCCAAATAA